GAGGTTTTGTCCGGCCGTTGCGATTTGGGGTAGTTCCCGGTGGAATTTTTTGATGAAAGTTTTTGAGCATCTTATTCACCAAGTTTAGTTTACTCATACCAAATTTCAGCTAAAAATTCAATCGGGAACACATTCAAATTAATTCTTGAAAATAACTGCGCATTTTTGTGTTCTCGAATTAATTTGAATGCGTTCCCGATTAAATTTTTAGCTGAAATTTGGTATGAGTAAACTAGACTTGATGAATAAGATGCTCAAAAAATTTCATCAAAAAATACCACCGGGAACCGCCCTAAATCGCGAAGACCGGACAAAATCTCCTATAGAAGGACTTAATTGACTTTTTTATGAAAGTTCGAGGACCTATTTGACAGTTTTCCCTATATTTAACCTATTCATGTCACCCCCACTGCCTCTTGCACCTTGGGATCCCCTTCCTCTAGATCCTCTTTCTCCTCTAATGACTTTATTTCCTTTACCCATTATGTTGGGATGAGCAGTGGCAAAAAGATCCTCTTCCCAAATCCTCCCGGCACCTGCACATAAGTCATTTGATCAATGACATTGTAACTCCCACATTTCTTTGCCAAATCCTCAAGCCGAAACCAACATAATTCATCCAGATCAACTTCAAAAATTTTACTCTGTCCATTCATATAAACTAGTGCATCTTGTGTCTTCCGAAACAGACCACCATGCCAGAATCGCAAACTGACATTCATTTCGGCCATTATACCCTAGAATCTTAAAAGCTTATAATTGTCAATAAGGGTTAATACCCTTATGGGAACAAAAATGTGTTGGTGTAATAGTGTAGCTATACAGAGTTGTACGTTATTATAAAGTGATAGTACTTTTCTTGTTACCTCATTGCTCACTATCCGCGGCTCCCGTTAATTTAACTCCGATTCGTTAACTTTAGCCGCACACCGTCACGTCTCCGTCTTTGTTTCACGTATACAACCGCATATCTTCACTCAACATCTCCTTTACGTTTCAGTGCATTCAGACCTACACTACATTAGTTACGGACTTAGGGTTAATTAGATGGGACTAAGGATCCATCCAATCCATAAATCAGCGCTAGCGTTCCTCACGCGGCTTGATTCACTTCATCTTCTCCTCGCGTGTAAGTTTATAGTTTAGTTTTCTGGATTTGTCGTCTTCTATCATTGTGTGCACAACGACGATTATTGATTATTGCAGGTGAGGCTTCATTCCATTCATCTTCTCTTGGCCAGATTCGATGCCAATGATTTCATTTAAAGATATCATCATTCAATTTACAACTGGAGATCCCACAATCCTCCACTCTTGCAAAAAGAAAAGGAAAAAGCGAAAGTTTGAATTTGATAATGTGATTTCTCCAGTATTCACAAGTAAGGTTTCTTAAGCTCCCTTTTCCTTGTTTCTTTTACTATTTTGTTATAAAATTACACACAAGTTACTTTAGTGATCATGCTTTAATGTGTTTTGGGCTATCTGGCTCGGTTGACATGCTGGAAACTGTTGACTTATCATTCTTTAAAAAAAATACGTAGGAATCAAGAACTGAAGAAGGGGAAACTTGATAAAAGTCCTTTGCAGCACTATATATGTCCCCTTCTTCCTAGATAGGCTCCACAAAAAATGCAGCAATTCTCCCACTTTGATTCAATTCGGTTGCTTCCTGAATATTGCCATACTCTAAGAAAGCAACTCCTGGCATAACAGGCTCAAATGGTAATCTGTGATGCAATTTGCTTGTCAAAGCCACAACACCCATAGTTCTCCCATGGAAGAAATGGGAGAATGCAATAAACTCCAAAGTTTATTGGTAGTTAAACAAAACCTGCTCGGAATAAGTATTTTGTTTAATTGGGTTCCAATCAAGTATTTTATAAAGTTATTTCCAAATATGACTAATATTATACGGAGTATATAAGCTCTTTGTGATAATCAAGATATAAAAACTGCACTAATAAATTTTTATTTGTGCAGCTAGCCAAACTTTAGCACATTTTATAGAAGAAGAGAAAATTAAGACTGACAATAATAAAGTCAATATGAAACCTCACAAATATCTTCATAAAATGCAACGAGAATAACTCATTCAAATAGGGTTTTAAATTTTATTCCAAATTCGACATCATTGTGAGAAGAAGTGTCTATAAAATAAACCCCCAAGTCCATCAAAGTTTATTGGTAGTTAAACAAAACCTGCTCGGAATAAGTATTTTGTTTAATTGGATTCCAATCAAGTATTTTATAAAGTTATTTCCAAATATGACTAATATTATACGGAGTATATAAGCTCTTTGTGATAAACAAGATATAAAAACTGCACTAATAAATTTTTATTTGTGCAGCTAGCCAAACTTTAGCACATTTTATAGAAGAAGAGAAAATTAAGACTGACAATAATAAAGTCAATATGAAACCTCACAAATATCTTCATAAAATGCAACGAGAATAACTCATTCAAATAGGGCTTTAAATTTTATTCCAAATTCGACATCATTGTGAGAAGAAGTGTCTATAAAATAAACCTCCAAGTCAATCAGACAAAATAAAACCCCTAAGAAAAACTCACCCAAAGTTAATGATTGATGTGAAGGAATAGGCATTTGTATTGTGAGAAGAAGTGTCTTCAATTGCTGTAAACTTGTAATACAGAAGATAATGATTGATGTGAAGGAATAATAGGAGATACCCAAAGCCGCTAATGGGCCTGATAAGCCTGATAAGTTTAAATGAATTTTGTTGATGAGCCTGATAAGTTCAAAGAGTTTACTAGGCTTACTGCCATGCAGTTACTTAGGTCTTGGTTTCAAAAAGTATAAACAGTGTATACACTCCATAGTTTTTTGTTTAGATCCTGTGCGTAAAGGTAACTCTCAAGTCTCAATGAAACCTTTTTCGGTTAATTGCATTCGATTACTTATTTATTAATCATAATAATCCGCCATAATACTTATGTTGTTAGGCTGGTCCTTGCCCCACTAATTTTGAACAAAAATGTATTACCTTTTGGCACAAAAGAGTATTTGATAATAACTGGTATACTCGCGCAACGCGCGATACCAAAACTAGTACAATGATAATAACCAACTGTAAAAACACTGTTGAGGTTAACTGCAACTTTCATATACATATACGACTTTGGCATTTTATCAAACATATAATGTGCACACAAAGAAGAATAAGTTTGGCACAATATCAAACCTATTTTTCACACGTGAACAATCTTGATGCAGTTCATTAACTCAAATGGTAAAAGAAGATTTTACTTTTGGCATTTTATCAAACAAATTCAGCTTCATTTAATTCTTACGAGAATTAACTAAAGTGTGTATGGAATGTTTGAAGTTAACAGAGATTTAAAGTACTACCTGTAGTCAACTCAATGGCCAAAGACTTCGTCTTCTATCAGTGTTGTCTGGGTTCTCTTCCAGCGCCTCACGTTCGTCGCAGTCCTTCCATCATCTTCTAGCCGGCTCAGAGATAGAATTATACTTCAGCGTAAGTTTTAAATGAAGGTAAAAAAATATTAGGGTAAGTTTATTTTCTTTCTTAAGTTAAATGACCATATGTTTAAAAAAGGACAGTTGTAGCCGGTTGCAGTCAATCGGGCTGAAGACGGAAGATATTATACAAAGGTTGGATTTGTTTTGGATTATCAAAAAAAAAAGGGACTGTTTAAAGCAGATCCGGTAAAAGTTGGATTATTTATTTTCATTTTTCCTTTTCTTTTTAGTTTTTTCGGCCAATTGAACTTCTCTTTTTAAACCATGCATGTAATACTCCGTATGTACTTGCATAATTCTTATTTCATTTTAATAAATTGGGTAAATGTTCCAGCACCGAAACAAATTGCTTGCTATCGCTATCTTCTCAGATGTAATTGCAATATTAAGCGTTAGAACATTTAAAATCAGTATAATATGTTGCTCCGGCCCCATATTGATAGGGGCGAGGAAAATCACAACCCCTCAAAGAGGGGAGACGGTCGCTAGAGTTAACTATAAATTAGTTTTAAGAACTAAAAGTTAAAGGGACAAACACATATAAAAATCTAAATAGAGTATATATATCTATATATATGTATATATATATAGGAAAAACTTCCGGTAAGGTATACCTTACCGGAGCCGCCGTGCGGCTTCCACGTTTTGAGGGCCTTCCCGGTGGAATTTTTCGATGAAATTTTGTGAGCATGTTCTTCATCAAGTCTAGTACATCCATACCAAATTTCAGAAAAAACATTCAATCGGGAAGACAGTCAAACGATTTTTGGAAGATAAATGCTTTTTATATGTATATAAAGGGTGCAATTTAAACTACAGTAACTAGTGAATTTTATGAAAAACTATATTAATAATATATTTTATGAAGTTATGACTGAACTAGTTGTATTGGTTGATTTTGCTGATTTATGAAAAACTATATTAATAATATATTTTATTAATGAAATAAAGAAAAAATTATATGGGAAGATAATTAAAATAGTCATTTACAGTAACACACCTAATACGATCAGAAAGTTAACTCTAACTTTACCTTTTCTCATTATGACACAATTAAACGCGCGAAATCAAAAGTTACGTGTTTGATTAAAAATTGGACTGATAAATCAAAAACAAAGTCATAAAAGGAACTCTTAAACAAATACCGAGTACTACGTAGTAAAAGCAAACCATGTCTAGACAGTCTAGTTCTTTTTTTTGAAAGCCATAATAAACACGGAGTAGATAAAATTAAAAGGCCTTGTAAAAAAAAAGATAAAATTAAAAGGCACGGTCAACAGGGCAAATTAAAAGGAAGAGGACAAATATGTCTAGTTTTGGAGGTGCCCAAAGTCCGTCCGAATAAAAAAGTGAAATTGAGTAGTCTGGACGCAATCCATCACTCAATGAAAATGAAATTAAAAGAACGAAGAGAAACCGCGCGTCAACCTTAAATCATGAATGAATGGGACAATACGGAGTATTTCCTACAAATTAATTAAACCGCGTTATCCGTACATTTTCACCATCTTCATCAGTTCCGTATATATACGGTTCGCTTATAGGTGTGTATATATAACTATACCGTACACATGAGTGCTCTGGTTGGCAGCCCTAATTTCCCCCGGCCCATCACTGATCTGGAGTGACACACATTTCCTCCCCTATGGCCGTTGATTCTGCGCCACCCCCGCCTCCTCTGACCGCATCGCCGGCTGATGCGGTTGCAGTTTCCAAGAAGCCGATTCGGATCCGCTCAGTCTGGTCCCACAACCTCGAGGCGGAATTCGCCTTGATCCGCCGCGTCCTCGATCGTTACCCGTTTGTCTCGATGGACACCGAGTTTCCGGGCGTGGTTTTCCGCCATGACATCCGGTACTGGAAGCCTGATGAGCATTACGTCTATCTGAAGTGGAACGTTGACGCTCTCAAGCTTATCCAGGTGGGGATCACTCTCACTGACGCTGCCGGGAACCTCCCGGACCTAGGCACCCCCAACCGCTTCATTTGGGAGTTCAATTTCTGTGATTTCGATGTGGGGCGAGATGGCCACTCTCCGGGATCCATTGAGCTACTCCGCCAGCACGGCATTGATTTCGATAAGACTCGGGCCCACGGTGCAGATTCCACCCGTTTTGCTGAGCTGATGATGTCTTCCGGACTTGTGTGTAATGAAGCTATCACGTACATCACCTTCCACAGCGGTTATGACTTTGGATACCTGATCAAGGCTCTAACAGGTAGAACCCTGCCAGAGGAACTTGGGGATTTTCTGGGATTGCTGGAGCTCTACTTTGGTAACAGGGTATATGATGTGAAGCACTTGATGAAGTTCTGTAAGAGCCTTCATGGTGGGTTGGACCGGTTGGCCAGCTCGCTCGAGGTTAGCAGGGTGGTTGGGAAGAGCCATCAGGCTGGCTCTGACAGTTTACTGACCTGGCATGCTTTTCAAAAGATCCGAGAAGTCTACTTTGAGGACAATGAGGCGCTTACTGAGAAGTATGCTGGCGTTCTTTATGGATTAGAGGTTCTGTAGCCGCAGTTTGGGTAGATGTAGAGGCTCCTGTTGAAATTTCCTGTAAAACCATCCTTCTTTATATAAAAGGTTCAAGTTTTATTTACGAGTATTATTTTTCCCTTGATTGATCTTTCATGTTTCTGAATATAAATCTTTCTGACTGTTCTTGGTACTGAGTTCAAAACTTGGGCAAGAACTTAAAATACTACTCAGCCTTAGTACTAATTAATATCTTGAGCTAGAACTTAAAATTTGGAGCTAATTTCTAACTACTAAATCAGAAGATTATGTTTGCTGACTTGCAATGAGAGTCTTCATCTTGTATAATGCTCTACTTCATTCTGAGCTAGATTGAATGAAGTCATTTTTTATTTCATCTTTTCAGAAGTAGGAATTCTTAACCCAAGATTTGAACTTTTGCATTTTAAGATACAAAAAAGTTGCTTGTAAATAATCCATGGTATACCATTTCATGTAGTTATGGGTTTTCTTTATTGATTACAAAAGATGATTAAGAACTAAGCTCCATTTTTCCTGGAGAAATATCTTCTTCTAGATAATATTTTCAGAAATAGATGTTCTATGTGAAGTGATTTTCTTGTAAATGTTTTCAGTGCATTTTTCCCCTGGAAGCCATTATCCTAGAAATAAAGATATTCTACACAAAATATTGTAATGTTTGAGGAAATTTTTGAAGAAAATGTTTTACAATTCTCACTAGGTGAAATCATTTTCCACAAAATATCAAAGAAGCTAGGAGTGAAGGAGTGGTGCCAAACTTATGAAAATATGTTTCTACACATGAATATCTAAGAATATTGTCAAAAGATACAAGAGGTCTACTTTGTGGTCAATTAGGCCTTTACTGAGAACTAAAATACTAATAGACCCTTATTACTAATATTATTCTTATTACAACTATTATTATTATTCTTTCTATTATTCATCTACTAGGTGTTTGGGACTAAGGATTGGATGTTGTTGTATTCATCTACTAGGTAGGTCCCTATCAAATTTCCTGTAAACCGTTCTTCTTTATATAAAAGTTCTAGTTTTGTTTATTATTTGCCATTGGTTGATCTGTCATGTTTTCGAATTAAAGTACTATTACTGTTTTTTGGTATTAATTTTAAATCTTGAGCAAGCTCTTGAAATGTTACTGGTCTTCGTACTTGTTAAAATTTTAAGCCACAACTTAAAATTTGGAGATAATTTCTAACTATCAAATTAGAAGATTAACTGATTAAGTTTATTGACTTGCAATATGATAATTCATCTTGCGTAATGCTTTACTTCACTGTGAGCTATATATTGAATGAAGTTCTTTATTTCATTTTTTCAGATGTAGGATTTCTTAACCTAGGTTTTGCACTTTTGCATTGTAAGATAAAAAGAATTGCATGTTGATGAACTATGGTATATTGTTTCATGTCTTTATTGCTTTTTGTAATTTATTTATTATAGAAGCTGAAGAAAAACTCTGTTTTTCCAGCGAAATATCATGTTTTAGAAATATTTTCATAAAAATGTCCTCTATAAAATGTTTTTGATGTAAAATGTTTCCTGGGTGGAAATCATTTGACAAAAATGTTTGACCTACACAATTAGAAAACATGAAGCTATTTGAGGAACACAAATGCTTGGTGTACACAAAGTGGTGTTCACCAAGCGTTTTTCATTCGAGGAAAGTGTTGCTTATTTCACTATGTGAAGACATTTCCCACAGAATATTAAAGAATCAAGGAGTGAGACAGTGACGCAGTGGTGCCAAAGTGCCAAACTTAGGGAAATAAGTTTCTAGAAAATATTTCCGAACACATGAACATCCAAGAAGTAATAACATTTTCCAGGAACATATTTTCCTGTAAGAAGACGACACATTAAATTTCAACTAGTTTCCAATTTAGGATTTATAAGGGAAATGTTACTAGAAACCGAGTCTAAATTGGTTCATGCATCATAAGTTCTATTTTGAAATTCTTTCATCAATTAAGCTCCATCATTGAAGTCGTTTATCAATTAAGTTCCGTTAATGATAGAGGAAAATCTTATTTAATGTATCTGCTTTATGACATTTGAGGGGCTCTTACTTTGTGGGCCATTGATGGGTTATTCTTGGAATTCTAACAAGGGAATTGATTCAGAGTAACTAGTGTGCAAGACTTATCTATTCATGTTTGAAATCATCTTATTATGAGTTCATGAGCTGATTAGAATGTGTTACAGATGATACTGGCCATAAGTAAGTGGTTTTGTGAATCTTGTATAGCTGAGAAAGATAGATTTTTTTTAATGTTAAGTAGCTATATCCTTTTTTATGACTTAGTGACTTGAAGGGATCACGACTCAGTTTTCATTACCTCATGTGGTTAGTTAGGGTGGGTGAGACATAGTTATTGAAGGAGTTGGAATTAGGATTGCTAAGGTCTACCTGTAATTAAACAGCACTTCCCCATTTGAAATCAATTGTTTTTCCGGTGATTAAGCTCAAGGGGTGTGCATTAAGAAACTGACGAGTGATGATAGTCTCCACATTTCCGTCGTTGCATCCTTTATGTCAAACAAACATGAGGATATAAGGATATGCATAATTGCATATCTACTTTGTACTAGCAAAGGATTGAAGAAATGTTAAAGGGCTAAATCAAATCATTCATAAGTATGCTGTTACTGTACAAACAAGAATGGAATCAATCCCAAAGACCCAAATCAAATCAAATAAACTGATATGCATATTGGATTACTAGCTACTGAACATTCAAAACCTTTAGTATGCTAATTTTTTTAAAAAATTTAGGGCATATATACAAGTTTTATATGAACTATGCACTTGCTCTATATGTTAAGATTTGATAAATTTTTATGTAGTTGCAGTCATCTTGGTTTATAGTTTTTCCATCTATCTTTAATTCTTTACCCTCACAATTATTGTGCTTCAGTGTTAAACTTTCTCTTTCAGCCTAACAACAAGTGTATATGATAGCGAAATAAAGTGAAATCAAGATGATGCAAAGAATTGACTGGGTGTCGTGACCCAACTGTTCTTGTTCCTTTATAAAGGTATGCTGATAGCTTATTTGCCTGTTTACTAAGAAAAGGATCTACACAATTCAAGCAATACAGTTCCTCACTCGTAAATGCTCCAGAAATGTCCAATTTATCAATGGGATTATATGCATATATCATTGCCATGGTTTGAAATGGGTGCACAACAGCACAAGTCCTTTGGGTTAAGTATCACATTTGTTGCTTAGAGACTGAATTAAGCTGTGATTAAGATGGACTCAAGGGTAAAAGTCCTGCTTCATTGTCTGGTCTATTGTTTGTGTGTGTGTTTGTTTTTTTGTTTGTTTGTTTGTTTGTGTTTTGGTGTTTGGGATGATAAAAACATTCTCTGTATGAATTTTTAAATTTGGCATGTCCCTTGGTCTTTCTTTGTATGGTGTTGTTTGTGAACTTTATCCTCCTTGAAGAATCAGGTCTATAAAAGCATAAATAGATGAAATTTTTTAAATTTGGGCATGTACCTCTCAATTACTTATAGACTGATTTCAGGATTCCAATTCATGATCTAATTGTGACGCAAAATTGCCCTAAATAGGATAAAAACCTATATGAAATTGGAAAAATTCACACTAATAATCCAACCTATTGATAGTCTTCTATTATTAATCCCTTCTATGTGTTATTCTAAATTAATACGAACTATCAGGCTAACCTTCCCTAAACACTCTATTAACCTGAAGGGCCGGTCTTTTCCGGTAATAAAAAAATCACGCCTCTTCACGTGACTAATAATAACTTATGGACAAAACATTAGGTGGGACGAAGCCCTTAGTCATTCAGAAAAAAGACGAAGGAGAAGAAGCTTTGCAACGAAGCTTGGATGAAGGAGAGCGCGCCCAGCCCATGATTCGCCATCGATTCGGGTTTCTCTACCAACACTGCCGCCACCAGGCAGCACCACGGAAGCGGCGGCAGATCTCATCCACGCTGCATCTAGCTTCATGGGTAGACACAGTCAAGGCCGTCTTCACTGGACAAAAGCCTTCTGGGACCTTCGCGCTCCTATGTTTTGCGAATGAGCTGAGCAATGCGAGGAAGTTGTCAAATTGGAAGCAATACATGGTGGGGAGAAGTAGTGACGCCACTTTCGCTGATGCCTTTGCTAAACAAGAAGCCATTCTTCGTTGCCTTGGCGGATTTGATCCCACTGGAGAGAAATGCAAATGCACAATAGCAGAAGTTGAGATTTGAGAATGCTTTGGCAAAGTATTGCTTGGGTCAAACTTGGCTGGTCCACATGTGAAGAAGGACAAGGTGCTGCAACGGTCTTAATGCCACACTTAATTCTGCAAATGATGGCCGTAAATTTGAATCCCTGTATTTTAAAAACGATTTATAAACAGTGTGCTCTAGCTAATTTCCTATGTGAATGTAAAACAGGAAAAACACTATCAAAATGACTATCAAAATTACTGAAGTGCAGATGATGGATTCCAAAAGTGCTAAAGGAGAAAGAAATGCGATTATGGTTGTACTTGTATCTTGAATAGTGTTTGGCATTTTAGGTTATTTGAAGTAAAATGTAGAAGAGTAAAGTTTGTGTGTAATGTTTAGCCCTGCTGTATTGGATAATGATTGCTGGTATGGTTGCATTTTACCTATGTATGAACTTTATCTTTGGCAGATTAAATAAATCTATAAAGATCTGTATATTTCACCAAGTTTTGTCATACATTGTGTCAATATTTACACTAGTTTGACTTCATCCTGGGGTGTTCCTGGTACAGTCAAACCTCATAATAAAGGTTGGCTTATTTTCCAATTCAAATCATCAAATGTGAAGAGGACAGAAGTCAGGTTCTTATGGGAGGTCCATAAGTTGCCTCTAGAGTTGGGAATAAAAAAACTATTGGGAAAATTGCCTCTAGTGTTGGGAAACCCATATGTTCTGATAAAGTAACGAATGAAGGTGCCAGGTTGGATTGTGCTAGGGTCCTGGTGGAAGTTGACATCTCATGGGATAGCTATAAAATTAAGATGGCAGAAAAGGCTAGGCGTATTGAACAACTAAAGAAGGATGAGTAGGGTTTGACTGCCACTGTTAACTCACATGTTAACTCAAATGACAAAGCTGAAGCTTCATATACCAGTGGGGTTATTCCGATCCTACTAATGCCAGTTATGCTGGGAATGGAAAGAATACAATTGATAAGGTCATATGTTATTACGTAGTACAATTTACAACAATGTCATATGTTAGTGATAAGGTACACAAAAGCAGTACCCACTCAACCTCAAATGAAGCTACTCAAATCCAGGAATTAATTAACTCAAATCCATAAATCCAATAGAGCTCTCAAGTTAAACCAAGAACTTAGAAATGTGTTAGCATAAACACATTTGAACCAACTGAAATCCTGCAATAAGGAGCAATAACCAACTGAAATCCAACAATAACTTAAACCAAAACCTTAGAAATCAATTCAAATTACAACAGACATAATCCAAAATACATCATCCAAGTACAAAAAAAGCCAGTAATGACATCATCCTGAATGAAATACAGCATAACAATTGAACTGAAATCCAACATAAAGAAAATAAGCCATCCCAGACACCATCCCCCAGTGTATTCATGCATTGCTTGAAGGAGGGCAGACATCCCCTGAAATTATTTGAGGACCTCCAACCTGACCAAGAGCCTACAAAAACGAATCAAAGAATTTAATAAAATCCAATTGCACTATATATTCTTAGATTAACAAATGAATCCATTGCTTATTTTTAACCAGATCAATCATACCAGATGGATTCATTCACAAATTTAACGTCATCAATCATTCTCACATTAACAAATGAATTCCCACGCTCATCAATGAAGACTCCAAATCCCTGAGGTACCTGCACCAAGAGCAGTACAGGACAATTTTTTAACCAAGGCTGGAAATTTAAGTTTTGCCCCAAGAGCGAGACCAGAGTTGTAAAAAAAGGGTCACAATCATGGACCACACTCCAGTTCCTTTTTCAAAACAGCAGGGAATTAAAAAAAAGGTGGGAGTCAACTTAAAAGCTGAAAAGGAGTGGAGAGAGGAGATGAGAGGAAGATGAAAGACTTTAAAAAACGGAGTATAAACAACTGGGACCAAATCGGGGGACCTAATTTTCACCCACAACAATACTAAGAATTTGAGATAAATATTCTTACCATCTTCTTTCAACGTGTGCAGTAGTGTATAAGATTTTCGCACCAGGCTGAGAATGGAGCTTTCAAGCTTCCTTACGGGAGTAAATCTGCTGGGATGGAGAATGTGTGTAACGTTGTTGAAGGAGGATCTGTTTTTCAGTTTTTTAGCTTTGCATATTTTAATTTAACTTGTTTAGCCGGTTGCCAATGAACTAGGAGTGTTTAGGGAAGGTTAGCTTGTTAGTTCGTATTAATTTGGAATAATACATAGAAGGGATTAATAATAGAAGACTGTCAATAGGTTGGATTATTAGTGTGAATTTTTCCTATGAAATTTGAATTTTACATTGTTTTTGTAAGGTGTTAGAGACTGTATAACCAAGCCCTATCCGACCAGGAGTTGGACGGGGGGCGGTAGCCCCCCCGGGGGATCCGGGGAACGCAGCCCCCGCCCGAAATTTTTGGTCCGTTTCTGAGGAGCCGCGAGTTTCCGTACAGTTCCGTACAGTTTGGGCCGTACAGATGTGGGCCCGTGTGCGTCCTAGTTATTTTAGGGGTTAAGTTTTACTCTCTATAAATACAAGCTCTCTCCCTTGTAATCCCTTGATCCGAAATATTAATAACATTCGAGGCTTGGTAGACGTAGTCCTTTGTGGCAAACTGACTTAATTAAATCCTAACAATTTTTACTCCTAATTTAGGAAGTTTCCCAATTGTCGATTAATGCTAAATGGAAAGTGGAGATCTATCAAAGTAAAGACCATATGGAAATCCAAAATCCACCAGACTAGTTCAAATACAGGTTGGCCATAAAAACCTGTTCTGTAGCAAGAATATACTTCCTTATGTGATCAAATTAAGGAAATGTGTCTAGAAAAGTGAATTCACACCACAATCTAAGGCTAGAAATGCTAGATTGATGTATTTAGTAAACAAATTTGATGGATGAGTCAGATTAGTAGTGATGGCATCCTTCATTTCTAGTAATAGTGAACACTGGAAGCTTATGTGGCTTGAATTTTTAGCCACCGTTACCGTGGCGTTACCTATTCTGTTAAGTGTGAACTTGTTCCTCAAACACAAAACTAATTGAAAACAATAAGCCTTAAACTAAGTTCCGATAAAAACTACGTAGTAATAAACATCATTCGACCTAGCTTGGACTGATTTCTTCATTACCTTGGATGCTCTATCTCATGCCTACCATGCCTTATGAATTCATGAGTTCGACAAATAGCTCGATTATGTCTAGCCTCTGGACCAACTCTGGCTTGATGATTTCTTCCTAACGGTTCATGTCACTTTGAGTTCCCTGCTCTCATTTCCAATAGTGGTTTTTGTATCATGGCAAAAAAACAGCTGGATCTGCTGTATCCTTTCTGTCCCTTATCATTAGTGAAAGATAGCAACAGTATTACTTTTCTGGCCATCCCACATTGTCCCTTATTATTTAGATTGTCCGGTTATCCCTCCATACACGGTTTTCTGACAATGCCTTTGCCTTTGGTGCAAGTTTTCAATTTGGAAAGAGCGACATTATTAGTCATACTGCTATTTCTTTTGTTCATTTAGAAGTATCAACACTAATGGCTGGAGTCTGGACAGATACTTGAGGAATGCAGGGCTTCTACTTTGTAACCTTCAGTCGTTATATTTGTGCTCTCATCCTCAGATAAGATTTCCATATGCATAGGAAATACTCCAAAAAACAAGGAATTACTGTCTAACAATGTTCCAAAACAAAAACAAAACAAGATGGAAATGAACCCTATTAGCCCCATACGAAGTTTGTGGACAAGTCATTGTCTAAGAATGAGCAAGGAATATCTGTCTTTCTGCTAAACAAGAGGTATTGAACTCATAATTTATTTAGGAGAGAGGGCATTTTAGCATGAAACGGAGAGATTGAACAACGGCCATATATATTTTACTGTATCACTATGAGAGCAGGTGGTGCCATTCCAAGATTTTTTTTCTTTTTGACAGCTGTAAGAAATTACCAGGTTGGATGATTGCAGCACTTAGCTATCCCATAACTATCTCCTCCATGCTGTAGTCTTGTGCACTCAAATGGTGCATGGAAGCAGATTATAAGGAATTTTTCACTTCCACTGTTTTCGTTAGCATCAATAAATAAAATTCCTAATGTAATCAAGGAGTCGTTAATCTTTGACACGCAAGAAACTCCCCATATTCCATCATCTTGTGAAACTAGTTGTTTTTACTTCTTAACCTTTTTGTGTGAAACTAGTTGTTTTTACTACTATGTAAAGGTATTTCTTCTCAAATCGAATGAAACTTTAACTTGTTTGCTTGACTTAGTGCACGTTGGATATAGATAACATGAAAGTTTTGAATTTTGTTTTGAATATCTCTGTTTTGTAGTGTTTCGGTGTTTCCTGTGGTCCAACATGTTCCTTCCCTGTCTTTTTGAATTTGGCGTTAGAGGAAGTAAACAGGAAGACCTTCCCTGTCTGGCTGTCTTTTTGAATTTGGCGTTAGAGGAAGTAAACAGGAAGACTTAAGAGAGCAGCTCTTTTGTTTCATGTTTTACAAGGTTTAATGCACCAAACCCCCCGTGATATGGAAATTCGGCGCATTAGCCCCCTATGATTTAAAAATGCGTCAAACCCCCTTGTGTTTTAATTAACTATGCGCAAAATCCCTTCTATGAACAAACTAAATTGTCAAATAAAAGAAAAATGATTAACATTTTTGTATGATTTAGAGATTTTGACATATTTACTTGTATATTCAATCAGAATATTAGGTAAAGTGATTTTCAAATCGTTAAATTTATTCATAAAAGGGGTTCTGTGCATGATTAATTAAAATACAAGGGGATTTGACACATTTTTTAAATCATAGGGGGGCTAATGTGTCGAATTTCTATATCACGAGGGAGTTTGGTGTATTAAAACCCCACATAGTGTGATAAGGTATCGAAAATAGCATATTTTAACTAGGAGTTTTCACCGATAACTATATTGACAGAGAAAAAATGATCACTAAATCATGTTCATATTTTGACCAATGTACACATATCTTACATTCTTACATAAGATAAAATTACGGGATATTATCCGAAATAGGACTAAAAAGGTTTGAAAATTTTAAAATAGGACTAACATGTTTTTATTCCCAAAATAAGACTAATTACTGTCATGTTTTGGCAGTACCAGACTTCAAACATGGCAGTATTTTCCAAACTTGGCAGTAATTACTTCTATTTTGGGAATAAAAAACATGTCAGTCCTATTTTGGAATTTTCAAACTGTTTTAGTCCCATTTCGGGAACTTTCCCTAAAATTACCCTTTAACATATCTAAATTTCCCTATTCAATTCTCAAATTACAATTAACAAAATCAATTTTATAGGTAAAACCGTAAAATAACATTAGATAATAGCAATTATCACCCGTCAATAAATAGTAATGGAGATACTTTATCATCTAAAACCCGGTCATTTAAACTACAGAAATTGCCTAAATAGGAGTAAAATTCCAAAATAGGAGTATCATGTTTTTTAGTTCTTGAAT